GAGAGAGAGAGAGAGAAAGAGAGAGAGAGAGACAGAGAGAGAAAGAGAGAGAGAGAGAGACAGACAGACAGATAGAGAGTTAGAGAGACAAAGAGACAAAGAGAGAGAGACAGAGAGAGAGAGACAGAGAGACAAAGAGAGTGAGAGACAGAGAGACAGAGAGAAAGCGAGAGAGATAGATGGGGGTGTGCAGACAGGCGTACAAAAAAGGGGGGTTAACGGACAGACAGACAGACAGACAGACAGTCAGGAATACAGAAAGAATTCTAAAAATACAAAAAAGAAAATCTACAGAATCTAATCTAATTATTAACCACTCTCATCAAAGTCCACCCACCGAGCACAACCATCCACGCCCAGCCTCTGTCTTTGGGGAATCCAGCACCCAGTTGTTGCTTCTGTTCCACGTGACCTCCTTCATCGGGGTTCGAACCCCTGCCTTGCCCCACTCCACCACAATGACTACTGTCGTTACCCTCAGCTTCTAGAAGAGGTGGAAAAGTCTCCGGGCCCGAAGCGCGGTCAATCTCGACAGCTCCTCCGGGGTCATCGTTTGCGTCATCAATATGTGTGTTGTACGTCACGGGAAGGTGTTCATCATCCGTGCTCTCCTGTCGCGGTCTTCTCGCTGTCATGGCCGACTCTGAAGGAATCATAAATTTATGTTTTAATAATATAATCTTAAGCCCCGGGTACACGTAACGATACATTGTACAAAAGCTGGACGATCTATCAATCATGAGACAAATCGTCAGGTGTAAACACAACACTGTACAAAGTTGGGACGATTGGACAATAGCTTGGAGACTCCGTCGAGAAATCAAGCGCTGTCTGATATTTTCCGTTCGATCACGGTCAGATTTGAGGGAGACGCGCTGTGATGTAGAGTCACTTTAAAATTTGCCGCCGCGCAGGATTAAACTTAGGGCTCAAAATTTTAAAATGATTATCGCAGGTAAAAATTGATTTCATATTCGGAATTAGCGTCTCAAATAAACCAACTTGCATGCGGGGAACCTGATTTGACGTGTTATTTTATTATGTATCAATTCTATTTTTAGTTGATCGTCAATGGTGAAGTTGTGTTACAAGGTCATCCGTTACCAGGTGCGTTGCAGTCAAGTCAAAGACAAGGAATCTCCCTGATCGAAAGAAAACTTGGCGATAGATTGGAACGTCTAAACAGACTACACAGCTCGATACAATCTACAGTTCTAGCATACGACGAATCTGACACAATTTATCATTACGTGTAACCTGGGCTTTAGACTCCACACACTGATGTAATTCCCGTTCACTATGGAGCCCACCACTGACTCAATTTGGAGCCAAATGAATGGCAAATTGTGAAAAAGGGGTGGGAGGGGAGAAGTTGCAGCGCACCTCAACTATACCTAGGCTGATGTTTTTGCCCTTCATTGAGCGCTCACAGCGCTTATAACCTTTCATAGGGAGGCTTTTCTTTTATAAAGAGGCGAATTATAATATCATAAGCCTCAGTGGCTGTCTTTTTGTGTATAATATGTTGTTCGTCCAATCACGAGTGTATATTATTTATTAGAAAGATTTGTACGTTGAATGGGCCCCTAGGCCTATTTGAAACGTTGATGTAATCAATCTTTTTTTTTAATTGTGAAGCGCCTAGATTCTTCTTCTTCTTCTTCTTCTTCTTCTTCTTCTTCTTCTTCTTCTTCTTCTT